ATATATAGTTAAATCTATATGATCTTGTTGAGTTTATTAGCTTCCGATAATCATCTGATAGTGCTTCCAGATATTTACGTTCATTTAAAGAGTTATCGTAGTTACAATAGAGGTCAGCTCCTCAAAGGCGAAATGGGATCTTTCCGTACTGGTTACGTTTTGGAGGGTTGTAACTATGAGGTAATATCCTGATCTTACAGTTACCATGTGTAAAATATTTTTACATCAGTAAAGATAACATTTAAAGATAACCATTGACAGAAGATTCGATGATGATATTTGTCTTGCCGAAGATTTATTGAAGTGGTCTTATACTTATAATAGATGTACGTGTACAACTGCTTCAAGAACTTTTGGCAGCCGATAATATTTGTACTAAAGGTCACCCTTTTATTTTTTTTTTGAATATTCCTATGCACGTATAAATGTAATTGTTGTTAATAATAGTTCTCGCATTAACAATATAACAATTAAGTCAGCTGTTTTTACTAAGCAGTCGAAACTGGAGGGTCCACAATAGCCATTTACTTGAGCCAACGAAATTGAATCGGTATAGTAACTTGCTTTCGACACCGAAGCTAATGCTAACTCTTTAGCAGTAACGTTCTCTTGCCTCGGTCAGTATGTTTTGATGGGTCGCTTCATGCGGAACGGTAAAATTCAGCGTTCTTGTTACCCAACCTAGATAATAAGAGGCCTTTTCGGCTGCAGTTTGTCACCATAGGTACATAGGCATGCCGTAGTCAGCCGAGAGGTGCAGTTATTAAACCGGCCTAAGTATTAGCGTCAGACGGCGTCGCTACCAATGAAGTGGACGAGACAGAGAGATCCGTCGAAAACCCGCTTCAGTTGATATGTTAGGTGCTTTTTTCAAGCCTTCAAGTAGGAGAGTGGTCGACAGGCCCACAGGAGAGAGCTCTGGTGTTTTGAGACTGGCCGATCTCATCGAAAAGTGTCTTTTCCAAGTGTTTATGTGGGAAAAAAACGTGAACCTTCATGTGGCCAGTTTGTAATAACCGTGCAAAAATATTCAGAACTTGTAACCTTTTTACTTACCCTATGCGATCTATATGGGAGCAGAAAACCTAATAAAGGTATTTTTTATTTATGGAGATATCTTACGAGGCTAATGATATATAAAATGCACAGTTGCAAAAATTCAGCGGACGGAAAACAGCTTGTCGATAGGAGAGGACTGTAAAATCTCATGTAGTATAACCAACGTAACGACTTTCAAGTGAATATATATGACTGGTTTGTCAAGGTTGAGCAGCTAATGGAAGCTCTCATGGATGATCGTCTTTTGCGATCAGAATATTATTAACTGGACTAGAAGATCTTTGATTGCAGTCGTCTTCATCGGCATTTCTTTAGATATTGAGAGACACTCTACGAATATGGACAAACATATGGCGAGATACACACATCGAAACGAAATAACATACCTATACGTTAAAAATGGACTGTGCTGTATCAAGCGCAACCTGGAAGAAAAACCCTCAGCCAAGTTCTCAATTTTGTGTCTGTTCGTGTTCGTCGTGAATGCTCACTCTCATGCCCAACGTTGGCCTAAATTGCATCCTACCTCTTGATCAGTATGGATTTTTCAATAGTTAGCACGCTTCATCATTACCTTATGTGCGTTCCGGTCCATATTGTATGCCAACTCGCCAACGTTATTTCAGTGCACTGCGAACATTTTGTTGTGTGCCTATTATTCTACATTTATGACAGGATGGACGCTGCCCGATATGCAGGTGGTCAGGGTCATCTTCTCTGCAGCCACAGTCCATCATACTAGATATTGACCTCTATTCTACTCTTGCTACATGGTTTTGGCTACGGCTGCTCATTCGTAAAACGCTAAACTTTGAAGATATATTTGTTAGAATCATTGGTATTCTGCAAAAATTTGCTAGAACCTAAGTCATCAAAGTTGAGATCTTCAGCAATAGTTCGCACAATCACACGACTTTCAAACTACAACTTCCATTGTGGCGATTACCTATACCTCAATATTTCCTCAGTGTCCTACTACGAGTAACGTGTTTTCACTATTAGCGACGCTCCCAAAGTTGACAGTCTCACGCCACGTGTTCGCGTGGTTGACTCTTGAATCCGAAAGTCCCAAGAACGTCTTCGAAGGCGTCAGAATCGGCCCTACTAACACCGTGAGGATCACCTGTCGAACAGCTCTCTCTCTCTCTCTCTCCCTTTCTCTCTAGACACGATCGCCAACGGCAGACGAATAGAAAGATGTCCCGCAAATGGCTATCAAAATGAATGTTATAAGAGGAGAAGACGCTTTGCGAAACAGTAGGCGTCAGATGGGTACGACAAAACGGGCTTCAGGTGTGTCCAAGCCAAACCCGTTTATCGAACGGTATAAACCCAACTTGGAAAATACGTTATCAGCCTCCTCTTGGTAACATGGTTTTGTCGCTGTTAATATCATTACCATGAATATTATGGGTCCTTACGGGGTGTCATGAAGTGGTTTTTCAGTCTTTGTCATTATCATTGGTTGGTTACACAGGTTTCTAGGAGTTATTCAGTGACGGTTAGCAAAAGATAGTACTATCGCTCTTGTAATATGTATATATTTTTTATGACGCCCTTTATAAAAGTGTAGAAAATTTTCGTTTTTCCTAATAACCCAAAGTCATTTAAGTGGAAGTACGATGAATACGGTGGGACCCGCTTTGGTAACGATACAACGACTTACGGCGTATTAGTGGTAAGCGCTGGCTATCTATATGAATATGAGTCACGTTCTGACACAGTTTCTAACGTTTGACAATATATAGGATAACTAAAACGTAATTTATCACGTAGTGTCTGCATGGAAAAGCTCATCGTTTCATTAGGTATGGTCTCAATAAAAGAGCTAGAGGACGTTGGAGGTCGACGCGCCGTACGATTCGTTGAGTGTTTTTTATCTCTCCGAATCGATCAGGCTGGGCAAGTAAGTTGGCGGGTCAGAATCTACCCGAATAAAGAAATCAATAACAGACACATTCGTTCAGCTAACACTCAAGCTGGTTGATATGCCTTTAGCTGCCATGCATACACAGCTTGTTTCACGGAAACCTACGGACAAACGACCTTACGCAACGACGAGATTAAGGAAATCGCTAAGATATGATAGCAGTTTGTTTCGCTTTGGGAGATTCTTAACTAACGAGCACCATGTACCCAGTGACCGCTATCTAGCGTAAATTTTGCGTGAAACAGTTTTCGTTTTGGAGGATGCTTTACCACCCCTGGTTGTCTAGATCGAAGTGTATAACGTCTACTATGAACGAACGGTGAGAGCTATCTTCAGTAACCTAATTCTCCTTGTGGAGACTAATATTAAGTCGAGTACACAATTAAATATTTTATTTTAAATAATAATGGAAATTGCCTATCGATGAGGACAAATAGTGTTCCTTTGACACGGAAAGTAGCGTAACAGCTTAGCTCAATACAGAAGATACTATTTTTTGACGCTGTCACTACAGGTATGCTTTCAAATGAGCCGGTTCGATAGCTTTATGCTGCTTTTGTTGATCGTTCTTGCTTACAAAAAAAAAAAAGGTATATTTATAAAAAGAATGTTCAACGTTTAAATGTTAAAATGGCCATTTACGAAGCCAAAAAGCCCAGCATGTGTAATATAATATTTACCTACTTCGATCCATTTGACTGTTTATGTGGCACTTCATTCGTATGCGAAAGATGTCATCATAATCTATCATGTATTAGTATATGGGGCTATGAAACGTTGCTGGCTATAGCTGCTGTTCGTACCGAAGTCACTGTGCTATCATTGTGCTTGCACCAAAGACCTGGCTTCACTTCGTGACGCTGTTTCGTGGGTCGTTAGGCCCTAGAATCGAACGTTGAAGGTTATTGAATTTCAAACGTCGCCTATGGTTCGTAAAGCGTGAGCCAATGCACCTATCTCTTAAGCGTTATCGACGACCTATGAATTCAGACCCACCGAGCCGGACGCCCTATTCAATGCTAAAAAGATTCAAATCTGAGACTGAAAAATCCAACTACGTTACTCTGCTATATCGCGCGATGGCTTCTAGCTGATGACGCAAATAGGAGACATTATTTTCCATTGAAATCTGCACAGAGATGCGTGTAGCGTCCAATTCCATGTATTGACTTTCAGCAAAGCAGCAAAAATGAGAGGGTATCAAGATTGTATTGTAGAATCGTGGTGAAAATTTATTTTCACCTCAATGTACATTCGCTTGGGTTATATCACAAGTCTTATTTCTGAACTATCCGTTCTTAACGTACAATCAAGCCACGAAGAGGAGCACAGAACAGCTGAAATAAGATGTTCCTAAAGTAATTGGTGAGTTTCTATTCATCTTGTTTATCTTGGGTCAAAACGGCTCGTATCAACCTTCTCCAAGTCACATGTTTAGGTATATAATTTTTTAATAATAAAAAATTTAAAAACAAAAAAACGCTAAGTGGTTCGATAGTCTGAGAAGGTTTTTCAACGCGCAGACTAAAACATCATTTTACGGCTAGATACTTCTTTACTATTGCTACGTGTGCTACTAAAAAAAGCTCTACTGTTGAAAAGTAAAGTACACATTTATATTGTATAATGATCTCACCCTTAATTTTCATTTAGTTTCGAAGCAGAGAAAGCAATGATGTCAAACACAATTCGAATTCACATACATGCGTGTTTCTGAAGTCATCTCAATTTCAGAACTACACTAGTAGAATTGTACCTCAGTGCTTCTTCTTCAAATCAAGATGCTTTATTTTATCATGAAAAATTGTCGGAATTTTGAAAATCACGCGTGGTTTGTTGATCGAATTGGGACGCAACGATCGGCCCATCTGCTCTCTTACGTATGGTCCTCTATGCATTTTATGGAAATCGTTCGACTGATGGTCGCGTCACTCATTCACTTTCTGCCAATCGTAGAACAATGTCACGATGTATAAGCTGCAAGAAGCTTGAAAGCCTATTGCGCAAGGGAGATTGTCAATGAAAAGTTAGCGCATAGTTCAGCATAGATCCAATACAGCGAAACAAAATAAAATCTATTTATTTGCGAGAAAAGTTAAATTTCAGCACTTGACATTGAACTAGTGAATGAGCTAGCACAGCCAAACCCTACCCGAAAGCTACTGGACCTAAATGAAGATATTTATTTCAATTTTTACACGTAGAATAGCCGAAAGCCATTATTTTTCTTTATAATATATGGAGTTATTAATTTATGATAAGTGCTCTCGTCAAGGTACTACATTTTAGGTCACTCGAGGTCTTCGTCGATTTCTAGCAATTACCATATCGTAAACATCATGCCCGTGATTTTTTCATCGCTGCAGTGTTGCCGGCAATGCATCAATGTTGACGTTTCGTGGACTTTTTTTTGTTAGACCTCTTCATTTGACACATCGAATCTTGCCCCTTGGCTGTACTACTATCTAAAGGGAAGTTCAAACGCTCCTCCCCCTTCATGGCCAGTAGAATAGAAACCGTTTTTCGCTATCGTACGTGTAACGCTCGAGGTCATCCATCGTATCTGATCTCGACGGATTTCGATGAGGGAACATTATTAGCGAGTTCGTTATTAGATACCTGAAAAATCCCCATAAAGAGAAACAAATCGATATTTTCAACCGAACTAACACCGTTCCGCTTTGTCAACATATTCGCTACGCGTTCGCTACTAACTTACGATCTTACATGCTATTTTACTTTTCTTAAAGTTATCTAAGTATATTGATAACAACAAATTAACTTTTCCGTTAAGCGAACACCCTTGCATCGTATACTCTCGTAGCAAAAATCCAAAGTAAACAGTAGGCGATGCAGTGACATATCAGGCAACTTAGTATTGGCATCACGACAATTATAAGACTACTAGACGACTCTCTCGGTATAATTGAATCAATCACTGACCCACAGGTCAGTGTTTTTATTAAAACTCTCACCGATTAGCATCATCTGGCCATTGATCGATCCTCTTCCTCGGACAGAAGAAAGGCTCGCGCCGTAAGGCGGACTCTCTAAAGCCCGTGCTTGCATTGTAAGGCTTGTATAGCACTGCACAGAGCTAGCGTGCAAACATTCAAAACAGCAAGAAAATCATTTCGTAACGCTCTCTGCTTATCTGGATATCCGCTACGAACTGGGGCAACTTAGACTTACCGGGCGTGCGTAAGTAACACTTTTTGCATCAATTTTTTTTTTTAATGTTTTGGTGGACCATATATGCCCTGCTTTCATTATATTCACCGTATGCTCGTCAACACAAAATTTAAAAAGTCATCACACTAGACTCTATCCATCAATGCGGAAATGATCTGTCTGATCAAATCTATGGACCAGATACGATTTTGTATATGCATATATGTATTTGACGATCGTGCTTGGTCCTAATAGCGCTTATAATTAGTGATAACCTATGTATAAGACAAGTTAGATATCGTTTATAGAATTGTTTGTCACACAGTGAAATACTGATTCGATAATAGGAGGGGATTTCTTTGGCACGTTCATGTTCATCAAGGATAAAGCTTGTTAGCTATGTAACCTGTGCATAGTGATTAAACTTGAGTCCTTTAATTCAAAAACTCTAAAAGATAAACCTTGCTGTCCATGGTACAATAGGAATCAATTTCAATCTAATTACGGAAATGAAGTACAATGACATTTGGGCTTCTAAATGAGACTAGAAGTTACCGAAACTACTCAAAATATTGCAAAAAATCTCTAAGGCCCAAATATTTGGCAAATAAAAGGTCTAAAAAACTTTAAATGAAATAAAGAAGAACATTAGTTTTGTCCTTGTTCTTCTGAATTTTCTCAACCAATTTGATCGGCATTATCCAAGATTTCGGGATCCGAAACTCGTAGATAATTCTGCTCGTAGAACATTGAGCAGTTCTGCAGGGCTTTTGATCTAAAACTGAATTAAGTTTGTACCGATTGTAAGTGACAACACTGTTTAAGTTAAGAGTCCCGTACAGCAATAAGAAAGTGCATAAAAAAAAGTTTTCAGTTCTTAAACCTTTTACTTAATGTGTTGTAAGATATTGCACTGCTTGTATTCCTTGCCTTGTATCTCTTGCTTTTCTCGTTTTATTTATCCTAAATTACTCCCTTTCCAAGATCCCGACATCCTCTTTGAGGTGCCAAGACGTTAAGGACACACGGTGATCTAGGTTCGAATCCGGACATAAGCACACTTCGTTTCGTGCTAAACTCCACCGGCGGATATAATGACCAACGGCAGTTCGGAAGTCACATTCGAAACATTTACATGCCGTCCTACCTTGCAACAAGCCTACTCAGAAAATTTGTCAAACAGGAGGGCTATTATAAAAAGTTTACCTTGACATACCAAAACATCCTTCAACTGTCTACATAAGTCCGTTCTAATTATATAACTACTTTACGAAACCCAGCTTTTGACCAATTTATTAAATAATGTATTGTTCATTAATAATTTTTGGCCACCTTTATTCAGGCTTCTAGCGAGTTTATAATACTATCCTTTCGGAAAAATGCATTTATGTTTTTATATATTAGTCCATAGACGTATTTGTATGAATAATTGAATACATTTGTATTAAGTAGATTCGGCGAAGATAATTTAGGGAGGTGAAAGCTGTCTTGGCAGAACACAAGGTGTGGGGAGGCAAAAAAACCCTACCTGAATGTTCATGCACTATGCCGGCCGTTCCTTGGAAAGCGCCGCCTGCTACCCTAGAAGCTGTTAGAGCGTCATATTTTATTAACCGTTTGTGCCAAATCGGAAATGGATTTCGTAGCAATCCATTGTCTCATATAATATTATTTCTAAACAAAAATAATAGTCAAGAGGCATGCAAAATGAGCTGGATCAAAACAGTAACAAGTAGCTTTCTCAATGCAGATCAGTGACTGTCTACGAGCAAACTCGACCAACATCTGACGTTCTTCAGTTACTTCAACATGGCCATGGTGGTCATTCTTCTCGATCTGCTGAATCTGCGCTTCCCCGGTACATCTTACTCACATACGCCTAGGTCACGTGCACGTAATGAACGACTCTTTCGGCAGACGACAGTTACCCTTTTAGTAGTCAAATTTATAACATGATTAGCAAACATAATAATTCCAACTAATCGAAGTCCCTTGTTGCGTGTTTGGATCACCGGCAATGACAGGTATTGACGCCATAGAAAAAACACGACAATAAGCTTGCGCACTCAGCGGCTCAATGGAGGGAACGGGCCGAGGTAGTTATGTGAAAGGGAGAGAAAATAAGGGATTCGTTGATCTGCTAGATGAAGCAGCGCGGCGGGATCGATTCAGGCGTTCAGACATGACGCAGTCTAGTTAACGACCCAAAAACCGGTACCAACGACGGCTGAGGGTAATTATCTAGAAGTGAATTGAAAGGACAAGTGATTCAGTTCTAGGATCTTTTGGCTTTTGTTATATTCCGGTTTGTATATATATATATATATATGTATAGCCAATAGTTCGAGCCGCTGTGTACCTGCGAGTATACGTTTGCATGTATTCGTCCATATCCCAGGAATACAGAAATTAAAAGGAGAGCCAATACAGAACAGTGACTTATAAAAACGAAAAATCGATTAACTTGTATGTATTATTCATACTAGGCGGAGCAAGTGTGTTACGTAAAAATATTTCATTAAACAATACGGAAATCGTCCGACCATAGTAAAAAACGCTTTTTGAGGCAGAGGCTAGCAGGGTTCGGCAATTGATGTTGTTTTTCCTACCGGAACGGCTGAATGACGTGGAAAATTGTAGTCCTTTTGTTATGGATTCGTGTTCGATGTTCTTATTTCAAGAGGATGCGTACAAGCGCGAGCGGATAGATTCCAGTAACTGAGTAGACTTAAATTCATATGGCAAAGCCGGCCTCTTTCTGCACCCCTGTCTAGTATATTCCTAGGACCTCCAAATCCTCTTATTTCAAAGGTTATCCACGACATGACGAGGCTTGATTACTGCACCTACCTGGTGCAATTGGCGCTTTACCCTAAACCAAAAAATACGGCATAGTTCAATTCTGGCTTTCAAATCAAACGAATATCTTACGGACACTTTTGTAACATTATTCTAAACTCAAATACTACTATGATAGTATAGCAAAAGTAGATTAGATTCGAGGATGGAAAATAGCATATCTGCAGCCGATAGGAGCTCAACCTTTGAATTTTTGCAAATGACGAAGGAATCGCATATCGATCAAAGCACGGTAACAGAGGCTGCAAGCAAGCCAGGCGAGTGTAGACTCAATGCAAATTGCAAACGTCCATAACCTCGTTCCCAAATGAGACAGCAGAAGAGGTCGGGTTATTTTCGGCCACTGTAAACCCACTAAATTATGTAGATCAGTAATTGCGGATCAACCATATCTGATCATGAACGAAGAGGCAATCATTATATAATTGTTTAATATAAGAAAATTGTATACCGGCAAATCAGTAGAGTTCTCGCGAAACAACGTTTATCAGAAGAGGCTTATCAAAGCTAGTTTAGACCGAGAACATACGATCTTTAACTGTTATAGAGAATCCTCAATTGGGCGCAAAAACACCTTCGCTTTTCGCGAACGATCATTTTGCTTACAATCATTTCGGTCGACATTTATCAAACACTCAAATTGTACAGAAAATAATTTTCAACGACATGCTCAATGATGACTTTCTATCTATCTATCTATCTATCTATCTATCTATAACAAATCATTTCTACGTTCTGTTCGATTTGATGATATGCTTGTTCCGCTTCTAAGATAATTTGTGCGCAAAAAAAAAAAATGACAATCGAACGTGTATGCTGTTCATAGATGTGCTTAAACGAAACACTGTCGCCAGGCATAGACATTGTTTTCGGGACATAGAGTTGTTGTCCTTCGAGGGTTTGTGTGCCTTTATCTGAGTAATTAGACCCACATATGTACGTAATAGCATTGCGTCGTCATCATCACTAGCAATTCACAAACACGCTGCTCTCGTTCTCTGTACAATGGCGTACAATATCGATTACAAAAAATAAAAACAGAGGCCGGTCTACACTAGCAAATAGGAAGGCTCATTATGTAAACAGCGGTAGCCATTTGCATAGTAAGCATCCCTATTCTCGCCGTATTACAAATGTGGAACAAATAGTTGTGCCGACTATTGCACGTCCCTAAATAGACGTATAATTTAAATTGTATACGTATTGTGTATTTGGTTTCAAGGTAGCATATAGTTATCTAAATTTTATGTGAAATTTTTTGTCGACCAAAAAAAATTAGCTTTAATTATCTACTATATAAACGTATCAAGAACCATAAAAAAAATGAAACCCTATTTTTTCCGATCTGCATGCTCACATGTTGTCGAACAGTAGACCCCATATTTGTTCAGTCCGGCAGCGAACGCTTAGGCTCGCGCTCCTGGATCAAAAACACCATTAGTTACCACCATCACCTACGATTTTTTAGTCACCGTGATCGTTGGATAGCTTTGCGATTATTTCAACAGGTCTCGAAATTTAATACTGATCGATATCGAAAACCGATTTATGATCCGCCAGTAATTTCAGTTACTTGGGCATGAAAGCTGTAGCAAGCAAAAACACTTCCTACACTTAGCTTATTATGTATACACGCTTTCAATTAAAATACAAATAGCATTCAACAAGTCTACACCATCAGCATCTTGTACCCTAGATGGCTCTACCCTTACATTAATCATTGATTCCCTTGCTTTTGCACTCCTCTTCCCCGCCGCCTCTCGACCCCCCCCGCCCCAGGTACCTTTTTTATTTAACAACTTCTTGAAAAGGCGCACTGCTTCGCAGTCTAACTTATAACTTAGGGCAGCTTCAGCAAATCGCGGTTTCTTGTTACGGCCTTGGATCAATCGCAGAAACGAAATCAATACCGTATCGACAACACACTGTTGTGAGTTATTGTGCTAAGGGGCCATAAGATACTGGTCACGGTGGTATATAAGCGCGAGAAAGGGCGACTTTGACCTGTTTGGCCCAACAACCGCGCGGGATCGACCCAGGCAGCGGCCGAAGCATGAACTAACAGGCGAATAAAGATCGTGTTCCGCGAAGACACCGAAGGATTGTCGTTATCGTTATTATTATCGGTCCCTAGCGTTAGCGGGACGAGTGATCTAGCCGGTCCATTGGTGTACGTTCTGATGCGGATGAATTTTAGTATATTGTTAGTGCCTATGAAGAAACACCGACGGCTGTATTTACGTCGACAGGGTACAGCTCGAAGGAAATTCAACAGGACCATATGCCTTAATTCCGATCCTTGGGGGTACGAGACGTTCACTGTAATCGCTGTGCTGATTCTTTTTATAAAGGCCCTTTCCAATACGTTGATAAATTGTCACCCGGTGCTGAATTTATATGATGCGAAGGTACGGTGCTCTGAGGAGCCTTGGTCGATTCGTCCTGTTTGTCATTAAAGTCAAGTAACGACATTTACACAAAGCAAAATCTGAAAAATTGTTTTTCTGTAGAACCTAGACCGAAACCGAAAATAGAAAACCGAAACGTGTGGCAGATTTCTGAAATTCGTACTAAATTTATGAAATTTATGCTAAAAAACAGCGCGCCAGTTGGTATTGCGAAAACGCTTTGCCGAACGATAGTAGGACAATGAGCACGATAATGATGTCCTAATGTTTCTGTTGGAAGAAAATTGATCACTAACACGACGTCGCATACCGCGTTAATGTACGAGGATAAAAAGCACATTTTTGAATTGTATAATAGTTCCGCATGAGCATAGCACTGCATATTTTTAGGCTATTAGGTCGTCAAAGCCTAATTAAAGACGATTAAAAAAAGGTTGTAAGGGCCTACGCGCAATTGATTCCTAAAAAAGACTGCTTTTAGGACCCTGGCCTCTTATCTTAATAGCCTTTTGTCAACTTTGTACCTGCCACTAAAATCCACGTCGAACAAAGACGCTTGCAAAGACGAAAATAATAGTCATGTCTATAATGACGTTATCATTATTTTTCTCTTTAGGTTTATCAGATTCCAGTTAATATTTTATTTTTCTTAATAATAATATTTGTGATGAGCATTCGGTTAGCTTTTAGGCGTCGCAGCCGTCGAGTTGCCCCGAGAGTTTGAATACATCAGACAGTATTCAGTCCAAAGTTGACGTTGCTTGACATGGCCTAGCGGGTGCCATTCATCCACAACAGAAGGCAATGGGGGTAGATGTACATGAGTGCCCTTGGTCACTTTCACATGTGTGACGGGTAACGATTTGCCGGGCGGTACCCTCGAACAGGGGGCCGCAAGCCGAACATTTCGTCTTCGGTCGTAATTCGCGATATACGGACGGAAATTGTAGGAGGCGGTAGCGGCCATCAGCCGTTCCGGATGTTGAGAGAGAGGTTACACAACGGGTAAGGGAGAAAGCCGAAGAGGACAAAGCTTGGTTGGCTCCACCGACGAATAGCGGACGAGCTATGGACTAGAAAATCTACCATTGCTTTTTAGTTTTTTGTCTGAATTCGAATCGTGCCGGGTGTCGGTGCCGAGTAGTCGGTATAAATAATGTAACGCTACAGTCCTGCGAACATCACTTCATAGAAGAAGCATTACTACGCAAACCAGCTACATGGTTTATAATTATTGTATAGCCTTCGCTTAGAAAGTGCGGATTCGCTCATTGACGCGCATTTGTTCGTGTTGCACGAAAGTGCCCGGAGGTAATTCTGATTCTAGTAAAACGTGTTGGATATTAGATAAACAAATAGTTTCAACAGTGCTAAGATAAAACGTTTTTAGAAAAGACAACGGTAAGAGGTGAGCAATTATGTTGCATCCCCACAAACTCGTTTCATTATCACAATTCAGGAACGCATTATTAACAGTTGTCAAGGATATCGATTCTTCTTTCCAATGTGTGTACCTAAATGTTAATGTAATCGTATAACAAAGCATCGACCTTCAATTGAAGAGTGCCTTGGGGAGACTATTTATTTTAGTCTTTAATCTTGCTAAAGTTCCTGAGGAGATCGTCAGCGACTATGACAACGAATAGAATCAGAATGAATTATCTCCTTTGCGAGATAATAAATTTAACTAAATACCGAGGGTAGAACCGAGAAGTCGAGCTATTTCGTCCGAAGGGATTAATCAATACGCAGATAGTACGTTCTTCAGTGAGAACTTCAAAGTGGCTTAACATAAAAAGAAAACTTAAATAAGAAACATGTTCATATAATGCGCCGTTTAGAAATCACAACCACTGTCTGAAGGGGTTATCACACGGCCCTGTTATAACGCTAAATAAGGTGACGAGGTTTGGTCTCACGAGCGGAATAGAATGGCATTAAATGCTAGGGGCCTAGAAGTTCCCTATGGCATTTTCGTGAGGCAACCTAATTATTTGATTCCTGATCTTTATTAGTCTGTAGATAAGCAAAATTATGAAGCCTTTTCTATTTGCAGTGGTGTATCAGAAGTATATATAGAAGATGGCGTGGTGTACCAAAAGATTCTAATTACTGACAAACGCATACACTATTATTTGAGAAAACGACAACTAACTTCAGCTATTGATCTGTGCTTTTTACGAAAAGTTTTTTCCATTTTTGCCAATATTGAATAAAAGAATAAATAGATTCGAAGTGTTAGTGTGGCTCTGCAACGATCTATCTGATTCCTAAAAGCAACAGGGTCCTAATAGATGCGGATCGTCGAATTCCGATAGAAAAACTTCCCTCATTTTTCCTGATCACTTTTTTTAGTAAATGGTCGACAACGGAAAAATAATTCACAACAGACGTAACAAAGCAAGTGAGAACCGTATCTGGTAAACTACGCCTGGCATGCAGACGTTTTCTACTCGTAGACAATTATTATGAAAATTTAAAAATAATTTCTTATTTCTATATCGAAGCCCATCGATACTTATATTAGATAATAGTCGACTGACCAGTAACTGAATTAAGTAAAATTCGTAGATAAGGAGTGATACGATACTACGAATTATGTACGAATTATGCAGGTTCTGTGAAATATGAATCATAAAATGTAATTTTATCTGTAAATTGGCGCATAGCAACCATTTATGCCGTTATCTTTTGGTGGACTACAGCTAAGCATTGGAAAATTGATTATAGGTCACTTGGTTTTTCCTGCTCCATTGAGCGTAAAGCATTTTTTTGTAAAGCTATTCGGAATCGTTTTCGATAAAAAAAAAAAGCGCCGGTTTTCCTTGGATTTCCAATGTCCTTCCTAGAAAGACATTGGCTACTGAATGCAGTTGTACTAATACGCAGGTAGGTCGACGTTTTCCGTATAAGTATCTAGAAATACTCTGATGGTGACAGGTAGCACGAATTAGATATGGCATCAGGGGTAATGTAGACTAATATCAATGTACAAGAAGGGCATGTCCTGCTTTGTTTTATGATGACCTGTGAGATGAATCAAAGTGGGCCGTCCGTTTTTTATGTAGATTTGATTCGAACTGGAGTCGAAAAATAAACTGAGACAGAAGTTATTCCTTAATATCTACCAGCGTATTTTAGAGTCATTGTTACCCGTCAATTAGGGAAATACTCTTGACGATTTTTGTTGTTAGTAGCAGGCGAGATGGCGAGAGTCTGTTTGTTAAACCATTAGGTTGTCACGTTGCGCTTGTGACATTTCCGAGAGTATTTATATTTTTCCAAAAAAAAGTTCACTTCGTAGATTAGAAATTTTGAATTAAAGCCGTGTACGAGACGTTAAATTGTGTATAACAGAGACAGTTCTAGTGGCGCTTCTCTTCTCGCCAAAAATTAACGTCTACCTCATATTTTTATAGGGAATGGGACTTGACATAAGTTTGCCGTTAGGACCCTGATGGTACTTTGCAGATTTTTGACGAATAGCTCATTATCCACTCAAAGTTCAGAGGTAGGGCAAGACGCAACCTTCAAAAAATAGACGATATTCTGTCCGATTATAAACACAGTGGCCGTTATTGTTAGCTCCTTTGAATCTCTGCACTGCACGGAGGGCACAAGCTGACTAAACACCAGTGATTCTACGTCAAATTGAAATATATAATAGAGTATATATTTCAATTACTATGCTACATTTTAACATGGCGTCCTTCAAAGTATTAAGTGTCCAAAACTGTTAATGAATTAGTAATGAAATCTGTAAAATTGTCAATTATTTCCGGTAGTAAGGGATCCCGTCTTCATTACGATAACAGCATCGTGCATGTGTTGACTGTACACCCATCTGATACATGCGTTACTCAAACAATTTTCTTAAGGCTGATCTAATCTCAAGTATCACCCTGCACACTATTTTTTTATACTGTAATTAAGTTACAGGCTAAGCAGGGTAAGCAGCTGTAATCTTAATCCTTATATAAAGAACCTTTCATACGATTCATGAAGGACATTGGTTCATTTAGTCCTGCAAGGTTCCTGTATTTTTTACGTTTTTACTGCCATATAGCAATGTGTGTGTTCAAGTCTCAGCTGTATTACTTACGGTCTATTTCTGATCAGTACAATAATCAACCCAAACGATCTACGATGATTCTATGGTGCCAAATGCCCAATGGGCCGTCTGTTTCGGGCTAAAAAATCGATGCAAATCATTCATAAACGCTCGTACTTTACAGTATATTTCAGTGCGTACACTTTCCATAGGCCGGCCTTTCGTGACGGGCCAGATGAGATTCGAGATAGCGTACTCAGCCCCTAATAGCAAAACCTTGCCAATGGTAGGACACTCGTATTTTCAAGATTGCTCTATAACGTTAACCATACGAGTAACTAAGATGTTTCGCCCGTACACGCCTCGCTTAGACCGTTTTTACGAAGCTTTAATTTATTTTTGGTTACGTATTCCAAGGTTTCCCTTGGCTCCCCTAAGACATCAATAGCAGAACTGATGTGGTCCTTAATGATCGTTAGCGTGGCAAGTATTACGTAGAGACGCAACGCACGGATGGTTAGTAAAGACTGCGAGGGAACAGCTCAAGTAAGCCAGTAATGTTCGTTCCGTTTAAAACGCTTCTTTAATTTAAATCTCTGTCCTGAACTAGGTATCGACCGTCATGCTGCCGGTATCGTTAATAGTATCAAAGGGGGGGGCCGTTTCTATGCGACGGCAGCACGATTCCCATAGTGTTCAAAGCTAGTTAACGACACAAGCTCATTTGACATAGTGCGGCCAGATGGGCATTAAATTTGCTCACCAAGGACCTCTTAGTGCATGTAAATCTGTGTGTGTTTCAGCCGCAAATGTAAACATTTGGTAGGTGAAGTACTTAAGAAGCTTTCCTAAATTAAAAACAGTGCAGAGAGTACCTTCAAGGATATACCAAAAATGCCTAAATAAGTTCATATTTGTGAAGCTTCGACCATTTATAGCTATAGTTACGAATGCTACCAAGTGTACGGTCGGTCAATGCAGATAATAGTTTTGCATTGTGTTTCTATTCTGCAAAATAACTCCTTGAAAAATTCATAAAATGAATCCTCTTTTTGAACTATAAAAAAGATACAGCGTCGTATTCAATGAACAGTGATCGTCTAAAAGCACCGATTGATGGGACAGTTGGACGGTTGCAGTGACGGAGGAAGTAAAATTACTATGAAGCCTTGAATTGGATCCCCAGCTGAGACTCCGTGATTTTGTTAGAATCTGATCCAATACTGATCGGCGTACGGTCTGCTGCCTAGCTGGCCTCGTCTGAGCCAATACGAAAATATAAATAAGAACAAAAAAGAGACAAAAGCGAATATCGCTGTTTTGCCTCTCTTCTTCTACGTTCCACACATATCTCACTATGTGTGTGTTGAAAAGCTGGGAAGTACTTGTTCCTGACCTTTTCCTCTGTGACGTCAAAGAAGAAAGGAAGCGTACGGACCAAGGATTAGATCTGTCACGTTTTATCTCGACATTAGCTAGTTTAGCAGAATCTCGTTGGAGCTAGCCCACGTCGAATGGACAGTGAGAGAAAATTTACTGGGTGATATAGCTGTGTTTTATATGAAGGTGTTCTTTTCGTGATGGAACGATGCTTGCTGCGCTAAGTGGAATTAGGCAACATATGCACTCATATTCTTATGAACTACCCCTATCTGTCCCACGTATGTGGCTGCTCTATCTTAATGCCACATGTATGGTCTGCCTTGTGGTTTTTTTGTTCAAGCTTTAAAACTTCACAAAAATGAAAAATGAGTAGCGTCATTTTCAGTCAACTGGAGTGATTTCCAACGCTGCTTGAATAATGGTAAAAACAAATCAACGAAGTATAAACAACTTTCGTTCATTAGCGACTACCATTTCAGCCATAAACAGACATCTTTGACAAAAGGCCCCAGCTAAGACGTACGCGATATATTCGATGGCACGTTGACCTACGCTCCTGCTACGTAGGACTTTGGACGTCAACAAGGTTACTTAAATCAAAAAAGCTGCTGGCCAGCACGGAGTACTTGCACCCGGTATGGTGTGGACCCCGTGCTTGAGAGAATTATTCAAAAGCGGTATGAAAAGTTGAATAACGGCAGCTTCCAGCAGTCGGCCATCGTAGGCCGATAAAGACCGCCTAAAGATATTTTTTGAGTAAAACAGTCTACGAACAATTTTGGAAAGCTTGACTATAGTACGTCAGATATCTTAAATGTATGGGATGAATTCAAACATTAAGAGCTTGAGTTCCCCATGATAGGAATACAAAACATCAAAAAATACCGTTCGCCGATATTAGGCAGTACGCAACCAAACTGACTGTTTTTTATACTGAATTTCTGCGGGGGGTCTTTATGTCGATACGAAGCAGAGTGGAAAAAAAGTAGTTTAGGGAGGTACGTCTAAAAATAAGATTAGGTCAGACCGCGATGCGGAAAGATTTGCGTTTGGTGGCACTGGAAGTTTTCTGCACATTGTGAAATGCTGGAGAAAAACAAAAAGCTTAACAGGTGTTTATATATATGGCTCACCTGCATCGAGTGGAAGACGCAGCCCAAAATAAATGAGGCAGAAGCTTCGCCTCAAGTTATGTTCACAACAGTACGTCTGACCATAAAGAGAATCTCAAAGGACTGGCCTGATCGAATTTGAAATGATTTTATGAGACAGAAATATATAACGTGGTTGAGAACTTTGGGCATATCGTAAAGACTGACGCCAAATAACTTGTATTCTAACTTGTTGCTACAGATTGACTGAAGCGCTGATTTTATAATTACGGGATGAAACTGCCATCACCTTGCTCTGAGTATTTACTCATTTTTAACTGATTGTACACTTTTTCGATTTGTAGAAATCTTCCACAGTTTTATATATCGTATTTAGACGTTGCCAGCATATTCTATTCGGTGTTTGCTTATTGCAGGAAGAAGAACTTTGAGCTCGTGATGTTGATTGGACTGATACAAATGAATGTGGTCGAAGTCGTAAGATTATCCTTCAGTGTCACTGTCTTCGAAGTATCCCGAACGCCTGGTTCCTAATTTATCTCACAGGCCTCAAGATTATTTCGGCATAAAATAATTACGCTGTCAATGGTATGATAAATAATTATATCTCCAATCTATACCACTTATGTACATGTTATTCTATACCACTGTAGTAATGCTGGCTGTAGGACAAATAAATCAAAAACAAGTTTGTGTTTTTAGGTCAGGTATATGAAAACTGAGAAGGTGGAAAGGATTGAAAAACGCATTATTACCTATATTATAATTGTTCTTGCCTAACTTTATACGTTAATAAGAGCAACATTATCCAGTAAAATGAATTCCATTTACAGTTAGGACCAAGACTCGTTTATAAATACGTACTGTATGTGAAAATTTATAAAAAAAGGGTAATTAAAACAGCAGTCCAAATAATAAAATAAGGGAAGGTGCACTATGAGCAATCTCTTATGATAACATGATGCACAGCACCGAATCGGTCTTGTCTTTGACCGATCACAGCCAAACCCACAGAACGCCACTGTCCCCATTGTGCCGTCAGGGGATGCTTGCTACAATATATACATCTTAGAAAGCACAGTCGCAAAAATATTAGGTGGGTGGTAAGTTTGTTATGAAGGCTAATGAAAATCGATAGGCTTAGCGAGATGGAAAATTTCGGCATAAAATAGGTATAAAAGGTACAAAAATAAAATCACAGACGAGATGTCACAAAAAGGATGAACAAGCTAGAAAGAAAATCCATTGTTCTTTTCTAATGCTTCGCCTATTTTTTTCTACGAACTTCAGCGTCGTCTTTTTTTGCTCGATATATGCCTATTACATCCGTAGGGAACACAACTTTGCGCCGAAACGAGTGGCCATCCATATGCTGTCCGTCTATTAATTGTAGTCCCATCAGATTGAGTAAAATCCTCATTGTGCTAGACATTCAGATTCTATGTGTACAGCGTGGGGCAGAAGTGTCTCGTTAGTGCTCACTCATTAAGCTAATAAGTTTAAAATATCATATAAATAAGGGTGAAAAAGAAACGTAAAGTTAAGGTTTTCAAACTGTTAAGTAATTTGCCCCACCAATATATATGAAAGTTTAAGCCCGATTTTGAGTTTGCCAAGTGTTCTTATTAGCCCCTGGATGTTCAAGAAATTTTCAAGTGAAACTGTGGCCTTTGTTGTGGTTCGTTACTGACCCGCATGGGAGTTCGCCCGTGTGTTGTGCAAAATTGCTAAGGTTTCTAGTGCCATACATGTCCAATAATGAAGTGCAAGAATCAAGTCGTACGACTTGTTTAAGTTGGCAACTATGACCCTGTTTTTGTCCACCGAATAAAAATACTAATTTTCTAACTAGGGAATTTGATCTTTGTACGAGCGCTTTATATGTATATAATTTTAACAAGATAGATTAGGACACGATAACCTAAACGTGAAGGAACGGTTATCTCTTTTGCTAGGAATGAATTGTGGTTTTCGACGATTGGCTCATAGCTTCCACCCGGGTTACTACAGAATCCTCTAAACGTATTAGGAAGCCTTACAATGCGACTAGCCTGTAACTAGAAACAGTTGAGTGTGGCGTTCTACGTGCGGTGGTGACATTGTCTGCTCGCTGTTCGGCTCGCTCCTGTGCCCACCACAAAAACCCTTCCCCCATCCCCACCCACCCCCGATTATCTTTGAAAAAAGGCTTCCGTTTTTCTTTTATAAACTTGTCATGCTTTTTTGCCCAGTTGACTGTTTACGTGGCGATTTTATAAGCATTGTTGTTCTGAAACCGAAATAGATATAGTGCTAAGATAACTGTATGTAATATAGCTTTATCCGGAAACTGTGCCGGTCGAACTTGTCTGCGTATTGTCCTATTGCCTAATCTCTATAGAGTTTATCCCGTTTGAAGTAATCACGGGCAATAATATGTGCCTTGTATTGACTTTATTCACACTAGATACTCATGAAGATGACTGTGTAACACTTGTTCTATGCACACTTTAAAAACGTAGCAAGAATTGAAAAACACCGATTCAGGACGCTTGCGACAACGGCCTGTTGACTACCTCGTTGTCCTATATTTATGCTCAACGGCAGAAAAGCAAAACCTCTACAGTTATTCGTTGCCTTGAATGTTTTAGTTCAGAGAGGGAACGATATTATCGTTGTCGAATATTATCAAAATACAAAAAACTTGTTACGGTCTGTAGCATTATTATTAGATATGTGTGATTTTTTCTGAGGGCGAGACTCAAGCGCTTCTGGGAAAGTAAACGACATCTATGTATACGCTAGCGGAAGCGCGATCACTACGGGAAATGTAGAAAAAAACCACACATATTCAGCATCCTATCAAAGATGGGTTAAAGGACAAAAGGCAGTTTAAACGGAATATATATATACATGTGACGCTGGACTTGACGCGGCCCATTTGACTTTCCAGACGATAATTTGGCAAAAGCTGTCTTTTTCGTTGACATATATATATATATATATATATATATATATATATATATATATATTGCTAATGGAAAATGGAAAACCTATTTGTGAACACTATCAAAAAAAAAGAAAACCATCACAGGTGTCTATGATTTCTTGTATAACTGCGATGAAAATACCGATCAAAATTTCGAGATATTTACGATGGATCTCAATATATTATACATTTACATTACTAATGTAAACCAAACGGATGAACATAAATTGTTCAGACGCCGAAGCCAGGTAATCTTTTTTAAAAAAAACTATTAACAGGGGGTCCGGCATATACTGGCGACTACTGATCATTAAGACAAGCATCCACTAACATGTAGCAGTCACTCAAATAGCCTTTACCACTAGTCCAATCAATGTACTAGAACTACAAAGTATCTTTAAGATATAGCACAGTGACGCAGCATTTCCAACGCAGAAGCATCTATCATTGCTTTGCTCGAATAAGGGTCCATGAGTCGATTCTACGATACCACTGAAGTAACGTATTGCCAAACATATCATCTCTGACAGCCTACCGATTTAAAATTAAGACACATACCAGTCGAAATAATTTTAAATCTAATTATTTTTCAACTTTGTCCATTTCAGTCCGCGATCTGATGGCAATGTCATCGGACCTTGCCCCTTCTGGTCGAAATCATCGAGAAGAAATTCTTAAAACCCAATCCATTTCTTCAGGATCTCCAGCCTATTTTATGCAGGGCCATCTCTGGGGACCGCCAGCACCCCTCCATAAAGTGTCCCATCTCTTCCGCCTCTAGTCATTATCGGACCAGACTCCAATATGGCTACGTCTTCACCAAAAATGTCCCCTATGCCCTCGCCTCTCAACAAAGATGATGACAATTTTGGTAAGTTCGATTTAATACATTTCTTTTTAGGCCCGACCGATAGGCTGTGAATAGAAGCGACACTGATTAATGTTGAAAGTCGTTGCAAGCGTAGAGACCATCAGTAACCTGTGGTCATTATCGCGTTCTTCCAAGGATGAAAGGTCTAACCTCGCTGTAAGATGGAAACATTCCGATTCGAGGGTACCATTTACGGGTTTGTTCTCGTAACCGTTCCTCTAAAGGAAACGTATGTGATCAAAATCGAAGTATGGAAAATTCTACAATAGTTTGGAAACACAACACGATGACGGCATCGTCAATCGTGTTACTTAGATTTGGGACAAATATGCAAAGGAATTACCCAATGATAAAACCTATAGCAAGCCGTCAATTGACTAGTCATTCTGCTAATATCAATCAAATAGCTATTGTAGTAAATTGGGACGTCAATACTCATCATTTCACGCGTGGTTCAGTTTCTCTCAGAGAAACAGACAGAAACTAGTCAACAAATGTATTTGACAGAATATTAAGTCAAACTTTAACCAGGTATTGAGTCATGAGGCTATTTCATAGAGATCGATGAGTGTAGCTGCAACTTGTTTTCGAGGCTTTTTAGCGTCGAGATATTTAAATTTTAATCGCGTTCAACATTGTATCCTCAGATAGATCGATAGCCCATAGTGAAGGAGACATGTTAGCAAGTAATATCGCTTCGACTTTGTAAATCTATTCGGTGTAATGCAGACAAATGGTTATTACTACGAGAGACGCTACGCTGCGCTGCCCCACGCTGCGCCACGCTATTGGGTTGTATGGGTATCTAGAGTGGAAGAGAGCCACGTGAAACTTTCTAATGTTCCTAAAAAAAATCCATCGTAAATGCCAATTGATTGCTGAACTCTTCTATTAATACTGTGACCCAAACCCTGCTCCGTTACATTACAGCACATAGAGATAGAAAAAACTCTTATTTTACCTAATTCTACGTAAGTGCCACTATCAAAATTTGTATGCTACTCCTTCAATGCCGCTCAGAGCGTAGAATAAAAGTTATAATAAGGGTTAATAGAATTCTCAATCTAACTAGTAACAGTAAAACCAAAATGAAGAAATTAAGTAATTTTTATTTTCTACTTTTATACTAACATATACACGCGGACGTCTTTTTTCATTAACGAACGGTGAACATTTTTTTGCGATAAAATCCTTTGTAACATAAAAATACCGAACATACGGTAAGCCCTCGTTTCCCCTTTTTTTTTTTTTTACACAATCATTTATATCTAGCAGAATAATTCCCTTTTTCATGAGCTGAAACGACCATGCCCTAGCAGTTTTGTTCACTGGACAGCGCCTCCATCTAAATAAAAATAAAAATTATAATTATAAGCCAATCGAATCGCTAGCTTTCCTTACACAGTAATATTTTGTAACACTTAAAAAAAAAAAAAAAAAACTGCTCTTCTTTAGGTTCACCCTATTAGGTGGAGAAACATGGCCTGATCGAACACCTTACCATATGTAACATACTGAAACCAGTAATCGTCGAGTGCCAGATGGCAGAATGTATAAGAAGATAATTTCACCAGCCATCATACGATATTCGTTCTGTACAATATACTCAAATTTGAAACAACCAAAGATAAATACTTACATTCTACTGTACTGCCTTGACTCTGTCGGTCCATAGCGTGTAGATATATTAGTAGCGAAAGGTTTGAAAAAATCGGTCCGATCAACATAAATGTCAACATGATTTAGTGCCAGCAGACGTGTACAGGTGGCAGCACTGTCGTAGGCACAATAGTCATAATAACGATATTTATTGTTGTTCTATTATGACGGGCATAGAATGGACCTTGTAAGTTTTTAACCGTCTTTTAACTTCTAAGTTAGTAGAGAAATATCATCATATGTAGTTAGGGAAATTCCAACGAGGAGAGCAGACTATATAATCGTCTAATATTTCTAATGATAACCAATAGCTTTTGAATTCTATTCGAGTTCATAGATTCTGACTGGCAGGCGAAGAAACCTTTGCTACGAAAATGTCCGATATATTTTTATTATGGCGCGCACTAATCCCGTCTCAACATGCTGTATGCGTAGCGATTGCTACATAAGGACGAGGTACTATTATGTCATCAGTACAAGATTTACTCACTGGCACTCTTTATTATAATATATACTTCGGGCTTTCTAGCCTTACTTCTAATTATATATTTGTTAATTAAAAGCAGATTTCCTTTCCACTTGAACGGTGAACAATATAGACTATTGTATTTAGTACCTGTTTTGACAATACAATTCTGCTTCAACAATACAATGCGTCCGGAATAGTAACATAATCTAACTGACACCGGGCCAGCGAAACGTATGATCGTTACTTATCTGTGTTATTTATGCAATTTTGCACAAATTAATCAGGCCCCGCGCTTGAGTAACTCTATAAGCTGCCATAAGTTACAATTTAATATATTGAAACGATATAACAGTGCCGAGTGAGCGTCGTCAGCATCACTGGTGATGCTTCTTTTAGTTGGAACTTGAAACTGTGCCATACATGCAAATCAGCCAACGAAACGCAAGCTAGCAACCGCTTAGAAATCAATACGGTATAATGGCATACATCGATGCCAGCCAGTAACAATTCAAGCTCGAAAGGGACGAAATCTCTTCAAGACACACACAGACATCTATTTCATTGGAGCCATAATAAACGAAGACCAACGTTCGTTGGATAGTTACCGAAACACCGCCGATTAAGTGTGATCTTAACGATTAACACCGACGACGGGTTGACCTTTAAGGCAAATCCGATTTTCAATGGGACCCGTACGCGCGAGCGATGCACTTGTGTCAACGGTTACCGTTTTAAGCCCTGATTTGTATGGTAGATCCAGAGGTAATGTATGCATTGCTTGTGATGTAAGGTACACAATTTTAGAAACTTGTGCCCAGTGCAAATGTTAATGTAAACGGGATACGTAAGCCCCGCATAAGTCATAATCGCAGATGATCTGTTATTGATTGAGAATATATAAGCAATATCTAGGATCTATTCAAGATCTATACAGTTTATGCTGTTTAGTGGACGATAGTAGTAGGTGGTATTCGTGTGAGGCTGAATAACGAGAGAGCGAGAGGCTTCCGGGTGAAGCTCTCATGTCGAAGCCATGAGACAATTCCACGAGGACAATAGCGGTAGCAGTAACACTGGGGTGCGGCCGCTCAATCGATTGCGGATGATGAGTCATATGTAGAGAAATATCTATTAGCGTAGAGCGGCATTATTTTGCGCCACTCTCAAGGCCATTGTACGAAAAAAACCGCCGCTGCCAATGGTTGGGAGGGTCGCGGTTACTCCATACGAGTCGACACCTCGACGGATCCCGACGCAACGATGGGCAAGCTGTGTCGATTCGGGTTCCAAAACGAAGCTTCGCTTACGCTAAGTCAATGTGGGCATAATGTCGTTTCTTTACCGGAATGAGTTGAGAATTTTACTAAGCCAGCCTACCCAATAAAAACAAATGCGAGTTCAATTTATTTCTAATGGAGGTATACAGTATCAAGCTTGATTATTTCTTGGTCAGCAAACGCTTCACGTACGCGATGCGAGACGAATGTGTTTTGGACCGTTGTCGTACCAATCCAAAGATCGATTCGTTAGATGTGACGGCTGCATGCGATACCTTGGCGTAGTGTTGACTCTCATCGTATTGTTAGATCGTCGCATGGATGGACGGCGACCAGCTATCGATTTCGTGTATTCTCGGATGAACTTTATGGTTAGTGAAATCGCGTCCAATGCATGGTATAAAGTCGCATGACCTGATAAGCAATTACTCATATGCACGTACGGCCCTTACTAACTTGAGTTCTATTCTAGGCTATTAAGTCAAAGACTATTGCCAATACCATGTGTTTCTACATAGTAGCAACATAGAGAGAGCCATTTTAATCTGTACGATGCTGACTGGATGCTTACCACTGGATGACTCCTAACATCTGTTCTCATTTAGTACGTGCCATGGCGGACTCACAGTACCACGATACTAGTGTTACCGTGAAGTTTCACTCTGTCATAAGGTTAGGATGGGCCAAAGCTCGCGTGTGGAGGAAAGCTTCGGTGCTACTCCAGCCCAACATTCAGCTGACTATGGAAGTTACGTGACGGAGAGTACACTTAATTCACGTGTGCTTATATCATCATATCAACAAAGATTTGGGTTAGAGATTCCGTATGTACCTGGAGAGCATGAAAACAGATCTTTCCATAGGAGATGTCCGCTAGAGTGAAGTGGATCGGACGATGTGCCATGAAGTGCAGGGTAAACGCTGCACTTCCCGGAGGGAGTGTAACAAAAAGGACAACGGTACTAGCATATCGGCTAATTTCTTCGGACGATGGAACGAGGTGAAACCTGTTAACCAAATAGGAAGCGGCGAAGGGCTTGACGAAATGCCAAGTAGGTTGATCGACACGATAAAGAAAATGGGGAAATATTTATGCTTGTTTTTTCCTTTTTTTTCTTTAATTTAACAAGAATATATATATATATATATATATATATATATCTTGTAAATTATCGGCACGAAAACGTTTGCTAGATGAACTTAACTCAGCGAAAGAAGGGTAGGTCAGAAGAAAAAATTAGCATTACGGTACTTATCGAGTAAATAACGACTTTATAAAAATATATTAGCCAAAGAAAGTCCGAGATTTTCCATATTTTTTACTGCACGCTGTTGCGTGCCGTTGTCAACAAAACCCAGCGACAACTACGCTATCTGCCGGGTTCGGCCAAATTGAAATTCTACCTCCTCAAAGAGTGCGTATCAATAAAAGTTGCTAGCAACATCATCTCTTAGGATTTCTCTTGGGTCATTCCGAAAATCTCATAATTTTTTTGAAAATCGTGTTAATTAATTTTTAATATTAGTTAATGTTTATTGGAAAAATATATTCCACACATGCATTTATACAGACACCAGAAAAAAACAAATACTAATAAATAAATTTATCTTCTACGAATGAGAGGCACAGGTAAGAGGGCACAGGTAAGAGTGGATAAAGGCCAAAGTAGGTTTTTGATCGAACAAATCGGTGATTTGAAACAATAAATATTGATGTCCACAATAGGAGCATATAGTGGTAAGAAAAGGATTTCTTATAGTGGAAAATTTTATTGACATTGGACAAAATTAGTAGCAATTAATTTGAAATTTCTAACGTGAACGGGATTAGAAATTACAAAAAAATGCTTACATACATGACATAATTTAATAAATAAAAACAAAAGCATATAGAACGTTTGGTAAAGAACGGCCGTGAATAAGGCAAAACTCAATAGTGGATATCATTTTTCCTTAGTTAGAAGAAGTATCATATTAGAAGAGAAAGCATGGTCAGTACACAACTGATAGAGGGGGGAGTGGTGTTCCAATGATTTCTCTCAAATATTCCCCGTCGCACTACTCCCTTGGCGTTCGGTCGTCTGCTTAAAAAATTTGAGATACAATTCGTTTTCTGTATGGCAAAGGTTATCAAAAGGCCAATAACAAGCTATTGTTTAAATATCGTCGTCTATGTATACATACATATATATGTACATATATAAGTTGGAAATGGCGTTTTATTTATTATATAATGTCCTCGACAAACATCATTGTCTTAGCTAGCTATAAAACCGTTGATTTATAGATTTATAGTTCTTTAAAGTTATTGAAGTGCTTTGATAAACGTAGATCTGTGATTACGTGCGAAATCTCAACTTCGTACTGTCGCGTTCTACAATAGTTGTACAACAGCTATTAAAAAGAATCCTTGAGCCGGTTTATAGTTTCGTAGTTCCAACATATCGATTATCAAATGAAATTTGAAAGACTAAAATTGTATAGCTCATGTCAGCGGCTAAAGTGTAGCTCGTCGCTAATTCCTTGTATTTGGGGATATAGCATCCCTGATAATCTCACTTATATGTCAAGGAGACAAACATAGAATTGGCAAAAAATACGCCTATCGTTAAAGCTGGCATAGACAAAAGATGAGTGCGCTCATAGTTATTCATACACGAAAGTATAATTTCTAGGGATCAAAATGCCATCTGCATATGAGTACTTTGAAATTGACCAATTATATTTAACTACATTGACATAAGCTGTAAAGTTTCGTTAAATAACAACAAAGAACTGTAGAATGGAACCGGTACGTCCGAGAACAAATAACAACTACTTTATCACTGATACATGACGTTCACGGTGGGTATAGTTGCAATTTTCTTTGCTCCTGTACATCTACGATGTACAAGAGCAAAATTATGTCAAGCCAAACACTGCATTGGCGGAGCTGGTGCGATGTCGACATAATTTAGAAACGGGAGAGAGTCACCCACTAAACCTTAATGAAAACAGTCGAACCCCACGGGGACGGATCGATTGTGACAACTAATCATCTCGAAACATTTGTCGTATAGGCGAAGCTGTGTGCACATCGGCAATTAATACTATAAAACATCCATGGCGATATTGACCTAACGTATGAAACAAAAGCTTGAAGATCCATGTTTTTTGCTCACATTTAACTAAGCATAGCTGGTCCATAACGATTTCTTGGACGAGCCGCAGTTCATAATTAAGTATTTTTAAAATGATTAGGAATTTTAAAACGACCTTTCTGGTCATTTTGTCTGTTCGCGTCAAAAGCGATCCTCATCTGATTAATCAGCTCTAATTAATACCAATGTTAACCAAAAGTTTCCGTTTCCACTAGCTGAATTTACCCTCAAAAACTAGAACCGTGTAAGATTTTCCTCCTCTAAACGAGAGGATTGTACCATTCCACCTGTTATCTTTCTGAATAGCCATTCTTGAACCTGACCTAAACTAAGAAAAATTACTTGGTTGCGCTTCAAGGTCAACGCAAGCTGCTGATTTTTGGTATACTGGTATTTAGTTTTCGCCTAATTAACTTTGGTAAGGAAGAGCAATACGCCGTTGTCGCCATCGGGTCAACATGCATAGTATTAATGGGCGAAAGCCACGCTACTGTAATTAAGGAAAGTGCCATTCATCTCGGAAATAACTTGCAAAGGAAGATCGTTCCATATGGCGAACAATTTTGTAAATTATACTCAAGGCTAAAACAGTTCCCTGGGCTCCAAGAATGTTTCACCTTTTAACTTTAGTGCACTTACTGCTGTGTTTCTACTTAAAATCACTTTACTCATTGAATTCAATTATACTGCTGATCTGTGCCTCAATTCAGACACTCGACAGTCAAGGTCTGGCCATTCTGTGTTTCGGGAAGTGTCACTTTCTCTTAGTTCGACTACGTTGAACTTTCAATCGCGCCAAAAGCATCACTGAGGAACGGTTGGTTTATTGCGCTTTTGCAGCTGTTGTGCTAATTTAAGGTAAAGCGAGGTCATAATTGTTACCTTAAAGCAGACGATTTCAGTATGACAGTGTAGTGCAAATGTATGTTTTACTACGCATAGCTAGGTCGGAATCTGGACGTAGGTAAACTTTGTTCCGTGCTGGAAGGCAGCCGTCTGAAAGACTGTTTCCCCGCCGCGTATGTACTGGACGTAAAACTTAGAGGTCAAGCGGAGCTTCGTTTTTAAAATCTTATGCAAATATTACGCCGTCAGAAAAAAAGGCAAGTTAGCACTACAAAATTGTCAATATTTTTCAACCATTTCTCAAAATAAACGTTACATTTGGCAGGAAATGAAAAAACTAACACCTCCAGTTATGATTTCGAAAATACAACACTGTACATGTCAGAAATAGAAAAACCTATGCAATCTTTACAGTGGACTGCTTCACAGACCGACCATAAAAAGCTCACTTCTTTCCTGTTTATACAGGGATCTATGAAATTATTTTTCCACTTGTTTGCATACAAGGATTTTTCCTTGGCATGTTGTTTTTACCATAGTGTTTCCCTGTCAGGTCAGGGGCTTACACCAGCGCAACTAGAGAATCATAAAACAATTCAGCCATTTCCATTTACATATATATATATATATATATATACTGCTATATACCTGTCGTTACCTGGGACAAACTTTGGCGGGCTGTTTGTTCTAGAAGAAAGCCTGTTCCTTCCAGAAAAAAACCCGGAAAGTAATGTGTCGTTCCCGCAACTTGAGTGAAACGAAGCTACTATCCAATCTTTAAGCCATAAAGCTAACGGTGTACGCCAGTTTTCGCGCGGCTTCTATGCATTCGAGAAAGATTTTCATCAGACAAACCGAAAAATCCTCAATAGGTTTTAGGTCTAAGCTCCATTCTTCCATCTTGATACAGAAATTAACGGACGTTTTAAAAAAGCTAGTTTAGATTGTGGATTCGTTTCAAGCGTCAGCGGTTAGACTTTTTGTACTGGACTTGTTGACCGTCTTGAAGCCCTGCATTTTTGGGATTATTGGCCAGCTATCAGTACAAAATTTAATTTCGCAGGGTCCTTCGACATACTAATGAGCTCATACCTAGTAATATTGCTTCACATACGGCTACCATTGAACAGTTACTTGAAGAAAAAGATCTTATAAATGACTGGCGAGCGGTTTAAACTCACTCGCGGTGAACGGTGATTAAATTAGCGGTGGCTAAAGGAGCGATACTTGTAGACACAAGTTTTTGAAACAAGGCATAAGAAGAAGTTTTGCCTTCTATATGTGGAATGTTTTCACAAAATTAAGAGACGACTGCCTATCCTGTATACATATAATGTATATACAAATTCTTAATCACTTATGGTCATGCATTCAAAATATATTCAAGCTTCAATCAGAGAACTCACTAGTCTTGTACCATACATGAAGAGACATGGCCATTGGATTGGAAACATTATTCTTAGAGAGCTTGTTAAAATAATGTTAGAATAAACTTCTCTAAGGTTCTCTAAGTTCTAAGGTAATGCGTATTATTCACATCCAGTCATGGAACGAAATCTAACACATAACGTGTATACGTTTGGTAAAACAATATAGGTAAAGTTATTAAATCAAAATTTATCACACATATTTATTGGAACTAAGGGCATTTAGAGATGTCGAGAGGCTTGAAGCATTTACATGCTCACAGCTTGCTATTCAAATATTCTATCTGACAAACTTTATGCCAATGCATATCCAGGGTAAATTGGCTAACTTCCTCGAAGATATGTTAGTCGAAATACATTTTTGCGTATGCTTCTATAGTTATATTCACGGGCAATCTTTTTTTTGTCATAAAACCATTTTAGGAGTAGGACATCGGTGTTTCATACCTATTATTTCTAAAGCTAGTCCAGAAATAGGCCTCATCTGAAGCCTGTGTTCGGTTTTTATCGGTTGCTGAGTTTTATCATATTGTGGTATCATTTTAACGCATATTTCGTCTTACTATGGTCGATTTCATATGCAACATAGATTCTTAAATTGATATTCTACAAACCTGAAACATTTTAATAACGATGATAAAATAGTGATTGTTGTCATTAGTACAAAATAATTCCTCATATGTAGCATGTTGACTACTTAAAGATACCGAGCGTTAAAAACTTGAACCGAATAAAAATAAAGATCACTGCTGAGTAACTTAGGTGTCTACTCTAATTTAATTAATTTTTAATTAGATGCTTCCTTCAAATAGTGTGTTTATTATGGTAAAATAAATAGTCCAGAATTAGGTGATTATGGAAATAGCTTGAGGTTAGCAAGAATAAGGTCTTCTTGATATCTTCCCCTTCTGCTACATTTGATTCAACTATTACTGACCACTATCGATTTGGGGCGGTTTATCCATTGGCAACTATAAGAAATTTCCACGTGTCTAGTACGTTGTTATTAAGTGCTCCATGGGTATATGCGCGGTTTCTATGACGATTTAACTTGTAAACAAACATGGCGGCATGCACGTACCGATATCCGAAGCCGAACACCGGCTGAGCTGTTGCTAATTGAAGTTGACTATTCGCGCTCGATTATTTATCTACTCGAGAATCTTGTCTGTTATATACGCAATCGCTTCATTACAATGCTGCGAAGATCTTCAAAGTTGTTTGTGCCATGCCTACAAGGTACACTCGCCCGTCTAGCGCTACCATCAGTTCAACCCCACCGAAAATATGCAGTCGAAGTACCTGATGAGCACCGGCACAATTTCGACCCCGAAAACCCAAATTTAACTAAATTTGAAGTAGTGGACGATCCCGAGGTGTGGAAGTATGTTGAAAGGATTTTACCACAAAGAACGATACCACCCTCCCCAAAAGAAGAAGGGGCGTCCGGCTGGAAACCAGCAAGACTTACTCGAGAGGAGGTATGTTTGTGTGAATTTTTGCTTGACATTGTTAAATGCACGTATATTTACACACACAAAAAAGATTGATTGCTCGAATTTGAAATTGATGAATTCAGCGACTTAATAGGCTTGCGTTTCGACATAGCAATACGCGTTTTGTACGATTATTGAGTAATTTCGGTGTTTCTTAATATCTGTGCTTAAAAGCAATTAACATATATGAGGGTTTTATAATATTTTTTGATACTGCAAAAATACATTTTCCGGTCGTCTATAGTGTAATGTGTCACATCATTGTATCATGTAGGGTTTAGTTCAAACTTCGGAACGGTATAACTGACCTATTAAATCATGCGGATTTGTACTCTTCAGAGGCTTGTTGAAAAGTTGTATTGTTTGCGATTAATTAATCAAGAATGGAACGTATCTAGTTACGATAGCCCTTAGCAGTGTGTCTCTTTGGATAATTGTATGCCTCAGGACTGAATTTTAGGATAGTGACAATTGCGTATCACTTTCGTACCGAACTGATTTGACCTTTTTTAAGGCTATTGTACACAAACCCACATAATTCGAATTTATGAACGGTAGACCTAGTTTTTATGTATTCAATTATTGTCGTTCGATGGTAAGTAAAATAAATGCAAACAAAATCGTATTTTCGATTTTTTTTCAGGCAAGAAACCTACCTTACTTCGTAGCACGCACAAAGAACCATATGCTCCCAGTTTACCTCAAAGAGGAAGTGAGAGGTGAGTCCTTCGGCCAGAATAATATATTATTTGCTGTCTGTGTATCCCTGTAGCCTTATGCTAGTGCATACGAGCCGATCTTACTATTGAGCGTATTTAGTTATATATATGTATATACATGTATATAACGAGAACAATGTTTTTTTAGTGTTTGTAGAGCACTCATAAAATCAGCAAGGTTTTAGCTAGTATCATGAGACATAAGTTTTCTTGGACCCTTGTATCTCATACCGTTCTAAAACATATGCTTTTAGACTTTTTTTTCAAATAAAGAAAACGTTTGTTACTCAATTAGTAACGCAATGTTTTTGTAATCCTTTTTCTCTTTAGGTCCTCGATACATCACCTACGTGTGTAAAGTTCATGGTGATCCATGGGCGTTGCGCAATGAATTAAAACTATATCTAGATGAACTGTTCCCACAACAGCATATTGTAACAAAAGTAAACGAGCTTACACAGAAAGTCGGTTTCAAGGGAAAATTTGTTAATGAAATTACCGAATTTTTGCTAAAAAAGGGATTCTAGAATATTAAGAACGGTAGATCAGTGATTGTTCCTATTTATATTTTCCGCAATAGAAGTTAATCGAGCATGCTCAAACGCAGAGATCGATAAATAAACTAAAGGAAGATGGTAAGCATATACTGATAAATCGGGGATAGTCTACATTATAAAATAACTGCCGACAATTAACGACGTTTAATAAAGTTTATTTTATTGTCGTATAGTAGACTTCTTTGGAGTCATTTTTAATCGATCATTATATTTCGGACCGAATAGACCTAACTTTCAATCATGTATAGAGAATAATTTGTGACGGAATATCTTGTTGACATAAGAAAGATATGCTATAAATAATCGCTATTGTTTGATACTAAACGTGTGGATACGAATGCATGTAGCCCTGCTGACCAATAGCCACTGTTTCTACCGGCCTTCTGATTTAAACATCGACCTCGCTTGTAAACCGCAAATATGCGTCTACTCTAGCCGATTTTTACAAACGAAGGCTCTATTGTTTATATCCGCCAGTCGTGACATATTATTTAATACTGTGGTTAAGAAGGGTTTGTGTACACAAGTTATAATAGCAGATGAAGGCAGAGCCAATTTTCTACTGAGCTTTCCTCCAGGATGAAGTGAAAGCGTGTATTTCACGAAAAACAAATTGATACTTTTGGGAAAATGTCGGCAAGATTGAAAATACGATCTTAGCCCGAAGTATAACCCATTGTTACTGCTCTTTTTTTTTGTTATCTAAAGGTGAGGAAGATGATGAAAGAACAATGAAACAAAAAAAATGAATGCTGTAAAAAAATATTATAGCTTTCGCCACATAATAGTTTTGCATAGAAAAATCAGTTGAATTTAAAATGTCTGTCTTACGGAAATAGAACTTATGTAACGATTGAAAAAGGGTGACAAGGATGAGCTCCCTTTACTTGATTTGTTTTCCATGGATCTAAGATCTCTAACTTGACGTGCAGCTGAGCTTAAGAGGGAAATGCAAAGAAGTAAAATAAATGTTCGTTTTCAAAGAATAAGCGAAAAGAAGGGTTTGAGGTGTATAGAAGCGCACGGTGCTAAAGGCCCCAACGGCTTCAAAATTCCTATTGATTGAATTAGTCGAAAGTGCACCATTTGTATGACAAGATAAAATTCAAATCGAGCAAAATTAAGCCAAAGATTTGTCCATTCTACGAAGATGTATGATATACAGCACATGCTTAAGCTTGGGTACGTGGCAGTCTTGATCATAATAAGTTACCGTAAAAGTAACCTTATTCTATTTCGCATTAGTACTGGTATTCTCAGTGTCTGGCCATTGTAAATACATTTTTCTTTGTGAAATATTAATTATCCTGTAGACGTCAATTTTTAATACATACAGTTCACAGTGTACAATTTCTATATAATACAGCTACACAGGTGGCGTATTTTTCGGCATATACCGAAAGACCTCTTGATGGAATACATCTTGTGCTTACATTGTTACTCATTATCTTAAAATTTTAGAAACCAAGCTTTATTTGGTTTATTCCAGTCTCATTTCTTTCGATCATTCTTTTCGGCGAACACTAGATTGTCATGTCATCGGGGCAGAAGAGGGTGATCTTTATATAAGTTTTCAATCAATGGAAGTTGCTCGTAGAAGACTAGAAATGCAAAAATAACAGTAGTAGAATAGGATGAATATATATAACAGAGTTTTCAGGCACTAGGGTTCATCTCATCGTCCGTGTTAGAAGTGAGCAAAACTCTACTGCTCCATTCCTATGTGTCATTAAATATGATGGATACCCGTGCCGCAAGCAATCTACACAAGACATGTTAACTAGACTCGGTTTCCTCAACGACCTTTAGGTTTGCAATAATCACCCTACGAAATAGAAACCGAGATTTGAGTGTCTAAAGTATCATGGACTTACTGTGAAGCAATCCGCCACGCAGTATCTCCAAAAAAAGGGGAGATTGAACAAACAAGTTCAACGATGTAGTAAGTTTCTCTATTTTGGGAAGCAAGAAGGGTGCTTTATTCTCACGCGGGTTAATTACCATTAATACAATATTAATGTGTTGCGCATTACGAAGCTGAGGTTGTTCCATTGCAACGTGAATTAAATGCATTTCTTTCGAAAAAATTCTAAAAGTTATGCAGAAACTATCATAGCCGAGACCGTTCCTAGATATACTCGTTTTAGCTGAATTTTCGAAAAAAAAAAAAGAAATCATTGTGTGTAGGTTGCTATTATTAGCAAGAAAGCATATACGCTAGAAAGATAATCTATTTGTGTCGGTACAATGTTGTTCTCACGTAACCGCAGAGTAAAAAAACCACCTTTGAGTACTTGTCTTGTGTGTGAATAGCAGAAAGAAAAACCTGTGTCGTTCCTACGATGCGGATAAAGCGTACGCCGAGGCACAGAATAGAAAATTTCTTTGCAATGCTTAAGGAAAACAGACGTTTTGCTTCGCGTTTCGAAAACACCTTCTTAGCTTTCGTTTCTATTATTAAATATAGCCTTTGTTAACAGAGGCATATAATCCAATCAGTATAAAAGATTTTAGAGAACTTCGTCGCTCCTCACTTTAGGGATAATTCTCTATTGTATATGCTTGAAAATCGATGCATCACTTAGTGCTTCGCAAAACACACTCTATATTGTTTTCGTCAACTTGTCTACGTTTAGAAATGTAGTCTGCCAAATACTAAACGTATACGGTATTTTACACTATGTTATTATACAAACAAATGACTTTTCAGTGATAAGTCTTATTCGTTTATCTTACCATTATAGTATTTTACTTATACAAAATAACATTAGAGAGTCATATTTATCTAGTTATTATCTAAGTATTATCTAGTTTTTAGTATAGCAGAATGTGAACACTTAGCCATTTTAGCCACTATCAGCCCTACAGTGATGGATACCATTGTCGAAAGAACTTACTACTTTGGTAGAAATCATCGATTTAAATGTTTAAAACATACATGCCGTCCAGCCGATTCACAATAGCGCAACGTACGAAATGAAATATGTGACATTTAATGATTCAATGTTCGTGATAAAGATAAGTTTAACTTAAATATTTGGGTGTATTTTAATGTAGGTTTCAGCGCCTGCTTCTTCCTATCCACACACCCGGAACGTACCTGCTGTTAGGCTCTGATGTCCATATGAGTCCTGTGCTCATACTCTCGAAAAGTGTTTCTTAAGGGTTTATTGTTCCCATCTTACTATGTTTCAGTGTTTTTTTCTGTGTGTATTTTCGTACATGTATGACTTACCGTGATCAATGTGACCGAAGATCGGATGCGTCTAAGTAGGCGTTTACAAAATCCCGTGCATCTAGGTTTGGACCGGTAGAACTAGCATGTTTGTAAAGGTTTTACCTTGCTGAAGTAGCCGCTTCTTTACGCAATAACTAACTTCTCCCAGTAGTAAGTATAGTTCCCCAAAAGTAACTGCAAAGCGAACGCCTTTATTTTACTTCGGCAATCCGTTCGAATGTCAAGAACATTTCCCTTCCCTGCATGTTTACCCACACTCTTTGCCTTTGCCCAAAGTGCCGGATACGACTCATAGAACTGTAAGCGATACAGCAATTAAGTTTACTGTGATTTCGACGTAGTAGGTTCTAATTGCCTCTCCAGGGATCCACCTTAAGGTTACTAGTAGCCGCTCCATTGTCTTGAAAATCTCTATTCTTCGCTTATACGGAGGGTCTTCTCAATTTCGGATTTTTTGAAGATAATTCTCATTTGATAGTCAAACCAATGCACACCGAACGCCTGTTTCTGTTAATGCTGACAACCACTATAAATCCCTATAGGAAATGAAATTTTACATTATCAAACCCCTTTAAATTATCTTGAAATAATTCACAGAGCTAATTGATATCAAATTCGCAGAAAAACCATCGCTAACTAAAACTGGCAAACTTAGCTACGCATAAGCTGAGATGCTTTTCGTTTAGACGATCGCACAGGTGATCACAAACAATTTCGGCTCGTACCTTCAAATTGCAGACCTGTGTCCTTTAGAGAATTCATTCAAAATAATACTAATAATAATAATAATAAGTTATATAGTTGAAAGGATGCTACTGTCTCTGTCTCTAGTTTTATTCTTGTCTTAGATTATAGATCCAAGACTAGATGCGATTGAGGGACAATTTGAGAGCCTTGTTACAACCATGATCAACCATGATCGTATCTGTTATGTATGGCTCAGGGGCTTGCGTAAGCAAGCAAGGATGACGCTGTAAACTCTTCGAGACCCAACCTAAAAATTTATGCTGAGCTTAATCAGCAGGTTAATGAGCGGAAGCGTCAGCGTCCATTTAGGAAAAATCTACATAAAGCTGAGTTGCCAAACAATAGTCATTAATATGAGAACGCGCCAACTCCGATCTGTACGGTATACCTTGACTTGTTTTTTAGCAAGACAGACTTGCACTTCGCCGCATGGTTGAAGTACGCAGACAATGTTTTCATATAATAAAACGACTGTGTCCTGTATTAACAGAAATGATAGCAGTAAGTTTCATTGGGTGCAAAATAGCCAGCTTTATGCATTTATTGTTGAAAGAAGAAAGATGCACAATTCTTGATTGATTGATTGATTGATTGATTGATTGTCTATCCAAGAGATCCATTTGGCAGACTATCGGTGGGTGCTTTTGCTTATCTATGAATGGCAGCACTAACTGCGATTTCTGAGCAAGTATTGTTTCTGAAAAGCAGCTTCCACAAGATATACCATATTCGTTACGTCTGGCCTTTCGAGACGAGGGTTAGTTGCTTCTAGCCTATGCTTTTATAAATATCAGTTAAGATGTCATCTCATTACAAATGTAATTCAGTCTGCACAAGGTGTACTACTCCTCCCTTATTGGGCGGCCTCGGGGCTCTCTGAGTGCTCGGAGACGATCAACTATCATTCTTGCACCTATAGACTACTGCCTAGTCAAAGGTACCTGTAGTTCGAGAACAAAGCTAGGAACAAGGTCCAAAGACAGAAACAAAGACTAAGCCATACAGTTTATCAGAGTGCATCCGCACGCCGCCCCTACCTACAACAAATTGTTAAACTTCAGTCAAGATCTACTATTTTAGAACTTCTAACAGACATTGAAACACACAGCATTTTGACTGCAATGGTACCACTATTTCTAGCCATACGTAGCGGACTCACCACCGTCAAGCGTATGACTCACATGGGTATTTA